CAAGACATCGGTCAACTGCATGTCCCTGGCTTTGGTGTTCTTTTGCCTGGGAGGTGTGCTTCTGTGGCGCGGAGATTTCACGGAGCCCAAGGACGAAATTTTGTCCATCTACAATGAAGGTGTGTGAATGGAGTGTTATTACCACTCGGTGTAATCGTTGATTGCACCGAGATTTTCTGCAGCTCTAAAATGTCGAACCGAGAAAGGCGTGTCAAATGCACGTGTCAATTAGTATGCCCAGGCCTCGCTGCAGACCTGCAGTGAAGCGGCGGGAAGGGGCGGTGCGGTGCCCAGGCCCATGCAGCGCCATCCCACGGATACATTACAGTGCGATGACGTCGGTTGCTGTCGTCATCATCATCATCACCACCAAAATCATAAATAAAATCATGGATAAATCATCATCCTTAAGGTCACAGCTATCAAATTACCTTCATTGAATTTGCCAAAGGAAAGCAAACCACAGCTCCTGAACCTGGCGGCCCACGGCGTGTCCAGAACGCACATTGCTTGTTAGCAACCGTTTGCCCGCGCTCGCTTGCCGGCACCCCCTTTTTCTGGCCGGTGTCGCGTCCACGGTGAACATTGTCTCAATAAAAAGCACCGTCAGGGCAACACGATTTGATACCATTTCAAGACTTTTTTGGCCTAAAATGCATGATTTACACCAATTTAACACGATTGGAACACATTTGGCAACTGCGCAAAATGGACATTTCTTTGCCAGCGGTGGCTGCGCGAAACGCATTGCCGCCGCCGCGGCGGCCCCGACGCACTGAACCAGCACGTTAATGTGTTGCACAATACATTGCATAACACAGTACTGCATAACAATTTTAATGCACAGTACATCAGTGTGTTAACGCAATATTGCCCCCGTGGCATGACAGCCGTGCAGAGCTGGCAGGACAATTACCAGGCCGATTTCAACGGCACGTCGTGGAGGCTCTTGGCCAACGGCCGCGCGGTGGCCCTGGACAGGATTGAGCGCCCGCTGCCTCATGCGCGCTTCACCGAGAGGGGGTACCCCGAGAGGGGGTACCCTGGGACCACGGGAGCGACGCTCGAGTTCCAAGCCCCGGCCTTGCTTAACTTGTTCTTTCCAGACAGCTGCACAGCGCCACAGGGCCCTTCGAATGACGGGGCCGCTTTGGGAGGAGAAAAACACGGATCGCCGCAAAACAACTCCAATTTTTCAAACAGCTATGCAGTCGGCAAGGCGGTCGTCGCGGGGGAGCCTGAAGAATCAGACAAATTGGAAAAATCGGAAGAATCGGACGGAACTGTAGATATCGATATTCCCCCGCATGGTGTGGGCGGGGACGGGGATTGCCCGACGGACGGCGGGCAGGGCGGCCGGCGGGCCCTGAGAGATTGGATGCTGGAGCCGGTGGAGGTTCGGCTGGAGGTGGCGGACGCCTCTGGGGCGGCTGTGCTGGACCTTGGGGCCCTGCCGCTGGTGCGGCAGGGCCTGCGGCGTATGGCCAACTGGAAGGTGTGCTCGTACCAGGAGAGCGGGCGGTGGTTTGGGGGGAACTGCCAGACGGTTTCATACGCGGACAGCCTGTGCGTCAAGGTGAGGCGCAGGCAGTTGGCATCCCGAAATTGACCGATATTCATAAGTAAAAAATCGGCCAAAATGCATAGTTTTGGACCGTGTACAATTCGCGTAACACGCGTCAAAACAGGCAAAAGCCATGTGCACTCACTCAATCGTTGCCGTAAGGTTCGGTCCCCATTTTGTACGATAAATGCACAGTTTGACACGATTTAATACGATCTTCACACGGCTTTCAATCGTGTCATACGGTGCACAATTTTCCAAACCGCGTGTTTTGGCCTGTTTTAAGTGCGGTTCGAGGCATTTTGGTAGTGTCGAGCGCTGCTCGCCCCCGCAGTTGCGGGTGATTGTCGGGCGGCCTGTACTGTCTGCCAGGCATTGCAATGCATGTGCTAATGAATGAATGTGTGTCGGTGAAGTTCTCCAGTGCTGTGTCTAAGCCTTGCCAGTTGTTTATTTTGCCCACGTGGGCATCATTTGCACCGACAGGCTTTACAGCATGTACTGTGCAAGCTGTACAGCTTGTACTGATGCAAGTGTGCAATTTGTACTGGTACAGCTGGTCAGCCTGTTTCATTTCACAGTTTTCGATACACGAAGATCAATTTCAATTGAATTGAACAAAATAAACCAACCAGCCACTAGAAAAGAAAAGGCCAAATAGCACGTGTTCAAACGTGTGCAAAGTTTACGAGTTTGTGTTATTTTTGTGTTTTTAGCGCGCAAAACTTTGATGAAATGTGTGTTTTATGTATGTTGGAAAAAGTGCTATTTGGTCCTTTTTTTGCTAGTGAACAGCAGCGAATCCGGCCATGCACGCCACCCATGCGTGTCGAACGAGCGACGGCTGGTGGCTGCGCAGCACACCAGATATCTGCCACTTTGTTTTTTTCCCCTTTCGCACCGCAACAGATTCCACCAAACACTACACATCAAATAGAAAACCGCACACAGGAAATGAGGCAGTACATGAGACATTCCATATTTTTCGCACGGACGACACGAATGCACACATTTCATCGCGCACTCCTTTCCACACCAGCCAGTCTCAGTCAAATATGGTCCAAATTTGATTTGAGATTTACCTGAATTTGTCTGGTGTCAACCGAAACAGGTCACTAGCGAAAGTAAGGTTTTGGTGGTGGATTTTCAATGTCGGATTTTTTCCTGGCGACCTATTCCCAAGGAATCCGCCCTTGCCCCCACGTCCAACCCGTTGACTGGTGCTGCTAGGTGGACCGCGACGCCGCCGGCCGCTGGGCGCCTAGTCCCCTGTACGGTGGCCCCGGCTGCAGCCCCTCCCTCAATTGGCAGCTCACTCACTGGAGGCGCGTCCGCTTGAGCCGCGGAAACTTCACCACCCCCGTCCACCTTCCACCGGCCGCCGGCTCCTCGCCCACCCTGCACGTCATCAGCGCCCGGGACCCTGACGTCACATCCCGGAACCTCACCGCGGGCCTGCGCCCAGACAACGCGTGGGTGAGGAGGAAAGTGCGGCCGTGCTGTATTTTGGTGTTAGCCCCGCGCTGGCGAGGATGAGGGTCAGGAGGGCGGCGGCCGCCAAGTACGAGCGGTTCTGCGCCTACAGGCCGGGAGAGGACTGATTCAGTCCGGGGTTCAGTCACTAACTGAGTTGTGACTGAGTCAGTTGCGTTGTGGGCGAAAGTGGTGCAGGGCCTAGTACTTTACTTCACTGCTTGTCACCTGTTTTGCTTGAAAGGGCGACCCGCGCTCCTATCTGTCGCTGTTTCAGACACTGTTTCGATGGCTGTTTTAGCTGATCCTTTGCTCAATTTTTTGGCCACGCTTTTCACCTCTACTTCGCTCACTCTTCCAGTCATTCTTTCGGCCACTTTGCCAGGAATATTTGGGACTGGGCTGCATGTTTAGTGGTGCTTTTTGATGCCTACGTTTTCCAAGATGGAGTTTGAAAATGGTGAGCTTCAGAAACGCACTGGGAGGAGTTGCGGGATTTTGCCGCTTGGTGGGGTTGTGGATGGTTGGCTGTGTTGGGCGAGGGGCTGGCTTGGGTTCAGCGTTGGGCTTGCGTTCATGGATGATGGTAATTACCAACACACTTAGGTGATGGTAGTTACTAAGGCACTTGCAAATGGTGCGTGCGTGTTTGTAAATAATATGCTTGAATCTGTGACACCAAACAGAGCATGGTCCGAGGGAGCTTTTGCGCGCATGCCTATTTGGGTGCCGGGATCGTTGGCGAAGACTGCTTGGAAAGATGAAGATCTGAACTTTTTGGACTACCCATTTCTTCAATACAAAACCTAAGGCATTGAAATTTACATTAATTGGTGTTATTCAAAGAAAGAATCTCCACTTCCTGGCCCACTGCCCAAATTCTCCATATGCAGAATTTTAATGGACAGTAATGAATTCCAAGGCAAGCACTCTGGGATTAGGCATCCTTCACTTGTGGCGGTCCATCAGCAGAGAGTGTCTTGTGTTTCGCTGCGATGTGATGTCCCTCACATCAATTCTGAAACTTCCTGGCCCACTGCCCAAATTCTACATATGCAGAATTTTAATGGACAGTAATGAACTCCAAGGCAAGCACTCTGGGATTAGGCATCCTTCGCTTGTGGCGGTCCATGAGCAGAGAGTGTCTTGTGTTTCGCTGCGATGTGATGTCCCTCACATCAATTCTGAAACAAGTCCTTGATGGGCTTGAATGTCGGGAGGTATTCAAATCCTTTGATAGCATTGCCAAGTTCCACACCCTGGGAGTTTCCAAGACAATATCAGATATTCTTTCACACACAGAATGTTCGTGATCAGCATGCATGCCAACTCCAGACTACTGTAGCGGATGGCCACCAAAAATTAAAGGATGTTTGCAACTCGCCAAATGGGTATGCACACGCCTGAATTCGTGAATGAAAGAACTATGTGCCGGGATGATCCATCCAAAAACGTTAAAACTGCGAATGACGAAGTCACGAATTGGATGCACGGACATTTTTCGCGCATTTTCCTCTGCGAGCATTTTTGCGCACAGCCGGAACCATCCGCATTAGAACACAAGGCACAAGGACAGGGTCTCCCAGTGTGTGGCCGGTACTGGGAAACGCCCTCCTCCTTCGCGCCACGGGGGCGCCCACATTACGTGGCGTTACGTCGCCCTGCCTCACACCCACCACAGATCGTCTAAGCCGGCCCCCCCGCCGCTGTCACGCAACAACCCCCACCCCGTAACGGCGACACCGCCCAACACCCCGTCCATCCCAACGTCACGGGAGACCCCCCGCGCGCGCCAAACCCCCTCTCTCGCCTCTCTGGGCGCTCCGATCGATTGTTCACACCGCCTGGATCGCATCTGGTTTCGATTCTCGAGGGGGGGATCGGCGCAGCGCAGATGCTCTGCTGGGCGCCGACCGGATCGGGATTGGATGTCCAGCTCGGGGGATGGCGGCCCGGCCGCAGAATGAGGCGGGGGATGGGAACGGCGGACGGGTGGGGGGGGGACAGGCTGGTCGTGCGGGCGTCGAATCAGACGACGGAGAGGATCTTGACGAAGGACGACCTGCTGGGGTACATGCAGTCGGGGTGCAAGCCCAGGAGCAGATGGAGGTGAGGTTTGTTGCAGAGAGACGGAAGAAGAAGAAGATGTTTTCCTGCATATGGTGTTATGACACAGCTGTGCATGTCACCGTCCGTGCTGCACCCGCAATGCGTGACCCATCAGAATGCACAATGGCCACGTCCAGGGCCGCCCATGTGTCGCCCCACCGCCACCACAATCTCAAAAAGACAACTCCGCGGAACAGCACCACGCAGTGCGCTTGTTCAGGGTGCCTCTCAACAGGCGGCAGAAAATCATCAGAGAGACGGAGAAGCAGAACGTGCAAAGGGCACCCCGTCCGGAGCAAGCGTGTGCGAAAGAGCGCATGGATGTGTGCAGGCTCGCCCAGCGAGGGCAGGAATGAAGGAGGAGAGGGGGGGAGGGCGGCGGGGGCGTGGTGTGGTGGGGATCGGCGCGCTTTTTGCACCGATTTGGGTTCTCGGTTGGCGCAGATTTGGTGCTGGGGGCTGGGGATGTGTTCCGCGCTCGCTTGGCTGCTTGTGGGTGCAGTCTTTGCGGATTTGCACAGAAAGATGCGATGGACCGGGCAGAAACCGTCGCCAGCATGGCTCGCAGAACGCGGGCATGAGATGGCAGAAACTGGTGGCAAGGGTGGTGAATGCCCCGCTTCTGCGTTGGCGTGAACAGACGTGATGTGGGGCGGGTTTCTTGCTTGAATGAACGCAAACGCGAGCAGGCGCCTTGTTGGTTACAGGGCAGTGGATTGCCCACACAAGTTGTCAGCTTTGTTTGACTCAGAGGAGAACTCAGCCCCTTCAAGGCATGCACACTGCTGTCATTCTGAATCTGTAGTATTTGAGGGGCTTGTGGGTGGGTGTATCCAAGCTAAAGAGATTGCAACTTCAGCTTGAATACTAGAGCATTTGTTGGAGGTCAACATCAGCATGGAGTGACTTCAACCCCATGCATAAGAAAACAAACTTCGGGAGACTCCGGTGTGTGTCATTACCTGCAAGGCGCAGGATGCCCTTTTTTGTGGCGCCTGGCCATAGGCAATCCGAGGATTCATGGTATGCGATTGTGAATTTATGATTGACACCTGTATGCCACACTTGGATGGGGCACAGGATTGGAACCGAGCACGAGAAACTCGGTTTCAACACGGCAGACAACAGACGGATAAACTACGAACAGATCAGCAACGTGCTGAGGTCTCTTGAGCGGAGGTTTGGGTGGCAGCCAATAATGGAGGGCGATAACATCATTGGCGTCAAGCTCGATGGCCAAAGCGTCACGCTGGAGCCTGGCGGGCAGTTTGAGCTGAGCGGGGCGCCGTTGGAGACGCTGCACCAGACATGTGGAGAAGTGAACAGCCATTTGTACCAGGCAGGTGCATCCAACCTTGCTGGAGGATGTCGGAATTGTGGTCTGTTTGTTGCAGACATTTGCGGGATGCGGCGGACTTTGCCTGTGTGATTCTTGTTTCAGGTGATCAATGCCGATCCACTGACAAGGCCAGTGTGTTTGTTCCCATGTTAATCTTGTTGACCTCCTCAGACTGCAATAGAGCTGCGGGTCTTTCGTCCCAAGCTGTGGAACTGTCAGTCAGCATTGCAGAATCTGCACAGCAACGATTGTGCAGGTGGTTGTTCATCAAGATTATTTTGGCATTTGTGCCTCTGCCATTTGGCTGGGCGCATGCACCTATTCCACTGCAAAGGTACTGTCATGGGCACACTGTTGTGTTCCGTTGGTGCACTTGTCCCCTAGGTGTAGGGAACAGGCAGCCAATGATGCAGGGATGAATCCCCAAAATGAACACAATGTGCCCTGCGAATGTCACACGAGTGGGCCGTTTGCTTTTTCTGCCGAACAAAACATTCACCAATCTGCAACACTGCTTGCATTTTCCGACAGAGATCAATTGCAGGGTACATAGGATATTGTGCCAAGATTCAGCATTTCTTGAGGGAGACAGAATACCTTAGTCCTTCTCAAATGGTGTGAAAGGCGAAGGTCCACAGGCTGTATCTGCCCCATATATTGAGCCAGACCATACCAGGACTAACATGTGCATGAAGGGCTGGAAACCAGCATGATCATGTGTTCTTGAACAACTCTTGGTCTTCCTGCGCTGGCCATCTAGATCCAACATCGCCTGATAGGTGCAAAGGCAACGCTTCATCAGGGCAATTGACACATGTAGTCCAAGTGAATTTGTACAGCTGCCCACCTTCCTGAAGTGCAGGTGCCTGAGCCCGTGAGGTGAAGATCTGTTGCCCCTTTTTGCATTCCCAGGTGAAGGCCATAGCTGAAGAAATGGGCATTTCTTTTTTGGGCATCGGATTCGACCCCACATGGGAACAAGAAGATGTGCCCATGATGCCAAAGGGGCGATACAAGCTGATGAAGTCGTACATGCCCACCGTTGGCGGCCTGGGACTCGACATGATGTTCAGGTCGTGCACAATACAGGTATGGATCAGGCATGCATGCACATCATTTTGAGTTCGAACTCGTGTTTCGCATCCCTTTGTCAGATTGAAGCCTTCACATTGCCTTTGGGTGGGCCAGGCATGGTGATGTTCGCGTCGGGTTGCCTTTGTTGCTGTGTTTTCCTGTTGGCTTTTGATCAAGCTGGTACTGTTTGCTGGCCTTTATCCCCTTTTTTGAACCCTCTGCCCACCTCTCTTTGGCAGTGCCCTTCCTGTGCATCCTGCCAGATGGTCAAGCACCTGTGCTTGACCGCGTGAGTGAAGCGCTGCATCAGGATTGGCACTGGCTTGCTGACTGGTGAATTGTGGGGAGGGCAACCTAGACCCCGTGCTTCGGGCAAGGAGGGACCATGAGAGTGATCACAACTTATCCACAACTTGTTCTGTGGGGTGGTGCATAAACCAATAAACCTCTATGGCAAGCTTATCTTCCGTTCTAGGGCATCAAGATGTTCTGTGAGAGGATTATGGTGCTGGAAATTTTGGTATTTGGGTGTGAGAACATACAGTACTGCGTGAGCTCAACTGCTTGCAGGTTGTAAATATCCAGAGCCTGCATTGCTGCTAAACACGAAGTCGCCTAGCCCTGGTCCAGTGGAATTCGGTGCTGAATCACCTCTGGATTCTATGTTCCAGGTTAACCTTGACTTCGAATCAGAAAAAGACATGGTTGAGAAGTTCAGGATCGGGCTGTGCCTGCAGCCGATTGCAACTGCCCTTTTTGCCAACTCACCTTTCAAGGAGAGAAAACCCAATGGGTGAGATGGGTGAGATGAGCTCTGCTCATGCTGTTTTGTGAAATTGTGCCATTGTCTAGTTTGAATGGCGAATCAGTACAAGCTGATGTCGTCCCACCACACAAAGCTGGATGGACCCAGATGTGGACTTCACCAAGCTTTCCTGCCTGTCACTATCACCCATCCATGTAGTTCATTCTGCGTTCAAAGCTATCTTGAAGTACTTGTTTCCATGTGTGAAAGGCTTACAAGAGGATCCTGCAAGAGATGAGGGTGCCTATTTGGTGACACCCCACGTCACTTTTTCTTGTGATCCTTGGGATGTGATCGAGATGTGATATTGAGACACGACTGCGCATTCTCCATTTTTGCTGCTGATCGTTGCACACAAAAGATCAATGCTGAGCAGCATAAGAACTTTGTCTCTGGGTCTCTGACTCTCTGATTCCCCTTCTCAGTCTCTGTCTCCTGTTCTGTCTCATTCAGTCTCAACATGAGCAGCACTAAGTTTCCAGACACATCCGCTACTGAACTGTACTGCATATGGCCAGCATGGTCCACATGATGTGCAGCCTGTGTTGAAAAGAATCCAGTAAGTGCTGTGCAAGATATGGGCCTCAGGGACCCGTGCACACTGTGCAATTTGCAAATGGAATTGCCTTTTTGCCTCGTTTTCCAATGTCAGGTGTCCAGTGACCAAAGTTCAGTGTCTTGTGTCTGATGTTTGGTATCCAGTAGCCCATGTCCAATCTCAGTGCGGCAAGTCTAGTGGGTAGTGGAGATTGGCCCTGGTTAACATCCGGCAGTTCGTCTTGAGTGTGCACTATTCTAAACAAAGCCATCGTGTCAATGTGCCCGATGACCTATCGATTTTGCTTCTGGCTTTTGCCATTCCTTTGAATAGCTTCACCTCGTTTTGAATGAATTCCATTTTGCATTAATTCCTTGCGACTCACCTTGCCCACTGCAGACACACTGCACAGCTGCATCTTGAAAACGTGCCACAGCTGTGCACATGTAAGATTTGCTTGTTCCCCAACTGCGTGTGTCTTCTGCACCCAACCTGTCTGCACAGTTTTCCTGCCAACCGCTTTGCCTCAAGCTTCCCTGGTTGGCTAACTCGCAGGTACCTGAGCTGGCGCAGCAAGATCTGGACAGACACAGACGCAGCCCGCTGCGGCAACCTGCCCTTCGTATTTGACGAGGGCTTTGGCTTTGAGCGGTATGTCGAGCATGCCCTGGATGTGCCCATGTACTTTGTGTACCGAAATGGGACATACGTGGACTGCCTTGGAATGTCATTCCGGGACTTCATGGAGGGGAAGCTGCCTTCACTGCCAGGTTCGTGCCAAGTGGTGCAGTCTAAGATGTTGGAAGGTTGTGCGCCTTCAATGTCTTGCCTTGGAAGATATTTGATAGATATCTTGTTACATATTTGGTAGGTATGTGTGTGGGGTGAACCCCCCCCAGTCCTTGTGGATGCCTGGTCTTGCGTTATCTTGTCAATAGTGGCATTCAGAAATGTGTTCCCATGGGAAGAGGACAGTTTCTGGCCGTGGATCGTTGCATTTTCGAATTAAGTGCCCTGTCAATGCTTGCAATTGTTCTGTACTCGCCCTTGTGTGGAAAGGGAGTCTTCATCTTTGGGCACACTGAGACGCAATGCCATCCAGCGCTGAATCTCTTGGTCAACTGTTCAACAGTAGTGACTAATCCATGTGATGATGCAAGTTGAACCAGAAAAATTGTGCTAATTCCACAGAGAGTGTTCAAAACGGAATTCGGTGGCGAGGTCTGGGGTGGGGGCTGCAAGAGACCCCTTGCAATGAAAACCACCAGCAACATCTCAAATGTGGTTCTGAGCTTACCTAGAAAGAGCCATATTGGGGTTCAGGCCACATTGTCCTTTTTTTCTTCAACCTCTGCACCCTTTTGCTTTGATTCCTGATGTTCTGGGGCCTTGTCAGAGTGCAAAACGTATCTTCTTTGAGATTGTGCATCCATGTTCATACAACCTGTCTTTGGGCTCCACAACACACTTTCTTGTGAGGTGGCACAGGGCTAACTTCTGCTGTACAAGGGCAGTGCCCTCCCTTGGCCTCCAAAGCGTCATGCTGTACTTGGAACAGAAAAGGAAAATGGAAAAACGTAAAAACTTGAACGCGGTTTCAAAATGTTTGCCACAAAGATTTTAGGAACCAAGAGAACCAGATTGAACAAACAATGGAACCAATTGCATGCCCAGCTGCACCGCTCTTGTTCTGCAACCTCCACGGTCCCTGCCGTGCAGGTGTATACCCCACCATGGACGATTTCGAGTCGCACCTGTCCACCCTTTTCCCTGAGGTGCGGCTGAAGAAGTTTCTGGAGATGCGGGGGGCTGACGGTGGGCCCTGGAAGATGATCTGTGCACTCCCAGCCCTGTGGGTTGGCCTCCTGTACGACGAGGAGGCCCAACGGCAGGCGGCGGACCTTGTCGCAGACTGGAGCCGGGACGACAGGGACTACCTGCTTGAAGAGGTGAAATGCCACGCTACAGCACAGTTGTGCAGTGTGTGCATGGACTAGAGTCCGCATCAGTGGTGTTGCTGTGTACCATACCGTCATGCTGCACGGTTGTGTACATTTGTGCTGTTTATGGACTGCTGCAAGCTCACAGCGAGGGACAGGCAAATGCCGGCTGGTGGACATGCTCATCTCCAGCTCAGGGTGTCGCCCAGTAACGACCTTGATTGCATCTGCGGCTTGCGCTCTTCGCAGTGCGCAAGTGACACCTGAGCAGACTGCAGGAGGGCAGGCGACAGAAACCGGTCTTGCCAAACCGTTTGCCCCCCACCGTTTCATGAAAAACTCCATCTCAAGACTCCGTTTCAGCAAAATAGAAGTATTGACTGAGTGCTACAAATTTTGTAGCACATCTGAACTTCGGTGCAAGAAAATTGGGATAGCTATGCGCTGCAGATTACTCAACCTGGTACAACTTTTTTCCCACAAGTGTAACCTTCTCCTTTCTGTCGCGTTCGTCCTTTCACACATCGTCGAAGGTGTCGCACAAGGGAGCGTCTGGCGCGGCGAGGTGGCCAAGACACCGTTTCAACAAAACATAGTTGACTAATTGCTACTTCGGGAAGTACAAGGTGCTGAAGCGCAAATACTCCGCTTCAAGAAAATTGGTATGCAGCCATGTGCCACAAATCACTCAGCCTTGTACGGCAGAAGGTAGCTCCTCGAAGGACTCGCACAGCGAGCTGAATGGCTTGGGCAGGTGGCCAAGACGGGGCTGCGCACGCCCTTCAGGGGGCGCACCGTGCTGGACCTCTCCAGGGACGTCGTGGAGATCGCCAAGGGCGGCCTGTTGAGGCGAGGCTTCGACGAGGCATCCTTCCTGGGCGAGCTGGAGAATGTGCTGGACAGTGGGGTCTGCGCGGCGGACACCCTCCTGCACAAGTACAACACAGTATGGAACCAGTCCGTGGATCCGGTCTACGCGGAGTACCAGTATTGATCGCCAAAAGGGACTGAGAGCTGAGAGCTACAATTTTGGATCTCGCGTGGAGCCGCGCTGTTCGTTGGTCGCTTGAGGGGGCTTTCCGGGACAGGGCCGGGCACAAGGGCAGGCCAGGCGTTGAGCAGAGCCGACCGGCGTTCAGCTGCGTTGGCGATGTTGGCGGGGTTTTGAAGCGAGCTCGTTTGGTGGGCGACAGGCTTTGCCGGACGCAAGGGTCATTGCTTCGTGTTGTTGCGAGATGGCGGAGGGCACTGAAATTGCAGCTGAGCAGGTGTTCGAAATTGGTATTGCCGCTTCGTGCACGTACTTTGGCCATCGTCGCTGCAGCTGGGCGGCAGAATCCAGGTCGACGCCAGTAGTCGCTGAATCGGAGCATGTTAACCAGAACTCCCCCAGCGCCAATGCGCAATCCTCCCCACAATGTCTCACCAATGGGCTAACGGCTGCTCACTGGACTGCGAGTGCCGATGTGTGCAAGGTGCTGTATTCTTGGATTTCCCGACGAACTCTCTCAGAAAGATACGCATGTCTTGCAAAGCGTCTTTGGCAAAACGCCACGGTTATCCCACTGTCACCGTTGGTTTTCTTGTCAGGCGACACGAGGCCCACAAACTTTCCGTAGGGCGGGCCCGGCACCTCGACTCCAGAAGTGATGTATTGGTATGTATGCATTATTGTGGGAAAAATGCATACAAGAAATATCATCGGAAAGGGTAAACACACACTGCTTTTCCAGTTCGCTCCATGCCATTTGGAAGCTGCCAAACAAAATTGTGGGTGGGCCAGCACGTCCTTGTTCGCGAACTTTCGCACCGGGCCAGCCGCACACCTGGCACAACTTGACTTTGGCGGTCCTCTACCGTTTATTGGGACGGTGGCATTAACGCACGGCCTTCTGTTGGGCGGCTGAACCTGAAACGACCCTTCGCTCCGCTGTACCAGGAGATATTCAACCCTTCCGCATAGCAACGCAACGTTTGACCGTATTTTGCAGAGCAACAGTAAAAAAAGCGTAACAGTGCCTAGAAAATGTAGAGCAGCGCCAACCACAACACGAGGGTCTCTGGACTGCTCGTGGTGTCCGGCGGCCCCACATGCGTGCGTCGCTGTAGCGGAAAACCGGCTTTCGAGGTCGTGCAAACTCATCAGAGTCGCCATTCCAGTTGTGACCGTGATGTGGAAGGCCCAAAGCAACGGCCTGTCGAAAAATATGCGGAGCAAAAATAGTAACTGAAAACCGAAATTATCTGATGAATTGAAATGAAATTTCGGATGAGGATGGGTTGAATATTTTGCGGCAATCCATGTTCGTGTGCGTCGGCCCACTGCCGGTTTCGGGTGTTGCCATCCTTCGGCCCTGCATGCCTTCGTTGGCGGAGGGCAAGCGCTCCCAGTGAAACGCTCCTAATGCGCTTTCCGGCTCGGGCCTTAGGGTAGTGACGCAGCTGGATCGAAGGTGTTTCATTCAGGACATAGCCCTGGGCACGAACCCGGTCGCCAACCCTTCCACCTCTTTCCCTCCCTCGCGACCTGCGGGGCAGTCGACCCTCGACACCATAACCCCGCGCCTACCGGCGCCGCTTTGCAAATCTCCTCTCCTAGCTCCCCCGCATAACTCCCTCGCACCGCCCTCTAGCCCCCCTCCTGGGCCGCCTCGGCACCCGTACGGCCCATTTTCGTCCCCGCGCTGGACCTTGGCCACCTGCGGCTCCATGCCCGCCAAGGCCCTCCACCTGCTGTTCCCCGCGCTGCTGCAGCTGGCGCTGGCGGAAGTCGACCCGCAGTTAACTGGATGCGGCTACGACGATGGTGAGCAGCCCGGATTGGAGCCTCTTGCGCAAATTTTGTGCGGCGCGTCAGCCATCTTGGCGAGGATGGCCCGCGCCAGATCCTTGCTGTCGTCCCCTCGCCGGGTCGGCGCGATCGATTGGCGAGGGTCGTGGTTGGCGCTGGCGGTGGCGGGGGAGGCGCAATGCGGTGGCCTTAGGGATGCGTTGCCAGGTCATCTGTTCGGCGGGCGCTGGCTGCGCCCATGGATCATGAGGATCGAGTCTCCACTGCCCGATGCGCGGCTGGTTCGAAGGTAGTGTCCGCGAAGCAACTCCCTTGCCCACTAACCAGCTTGCGCCGCTCTCTGCCCTGCCCGGCGCCTGGAATCCAGGCCCTGCACTCACGTTGACGCCCCGACCACGGGGTTGGCTGCCATTGACCCCAGTCGACGCTCGTCGCGATCTCTGGGCGCGAATTTCCGATCGCCGTGGCGGGGTGCTAGGCCGGCCTGCGGATCGAAAGTGCAGTGCCCGGAAAAACTGCACCACGCACGGACCTCACCGCCAGACCTGCTCGTTTTCGCAATTTCAACGGTAGACAGCCGTCTCCCATGGGCTCCGGACGCCGCTTCCAGGCCACACGCCAAGAAGGCACCCCCGGGCAATCTCCACCCCACCCCCTTTCCGCTCCTAAAAGATCCACTCGCCCACAAAAAGCGCCAAAAGAAGGAAAGCGAATTGCCGCGAAGAGGGCGCGCAGGCCGCAGTTGCCCTGATCGTGGCATGCGCGTGTTCGCAGAGGCCCTGCCGCGCGCCATCCCCATAACGCTCGCCGTCACGACCGACGCCACCAGCAACACCACCCGCTACCCCTTCCTGGCCAACGTCATGTCTCCCAAGATGCTGACCCACGCCTGCACGGGCACGCTTGTGGACGACGACCTGGTGCTGGCCCCCGCGTCCTGTGTGTCTTCGCTGAGCAACAAGGCGGAGCCGCTGCCCATCGTGCGGGTGGGCACCTACGCGCTGGACGGAAAAGGCGGCCAAGCCGATTATGAGGTGAGCGAGTGGATGCCGCGCCCCCTGTCGCAGCCGCCGTTTGTTTGACTCGCGCAATGAAACGCTGACTTGGAAAACGGTGAGTTGTTGAACGAAGCTATAAGCGGTGGTCGAAACTCAGACTGGAAAACGGGGAGGAGTTGAACGAAGCGGAAAACGGCGATTGAAACTTTGATTGGAAAACCGGTGAGGGGTTGAAGGAACCGAAAGACGTGCGCGCTGGACGGAAAGGGAGGCCAACCGATTTCGAGGTGGGTGAGCGTGTGCCGTCCCTCTCCTCCTCTCGCCCCGTTGTTTTGTTCGCTGATAAAAATTCTGATTGCACAAAAGGTGAGGGGTTGAATGGAGCGAAAAACGATGAGGTATCGAACGACGGGCATTGGCGGGAGCTGGGCGGGCGTTGCGTTTCCGTTTGGGGCTGGTGGGGCCACGACTTCGTCGCGAAACGCACTCCAACGCCAACTGCTGCGAATCCAGCGGGGGCCTGAGCGGCCTGCCCCGCCCGAATTTTCGGCATCAGCCCGCCGCTGGCGAGAGACGTCGCGGCGATTGCCGCCTTGCGCATCGCGGCCCCGGAGGTCAGATGGGTGGGGCCCCACCGCTTGGCTCGCATACTCTTGCGGCGGCAGTCTTTCCCCATCCCCAACCACATCCCATTTCATCGCATGGCACAGAGTCTTAAACACGCTTGCCTTGGGAGGGCGCCCTCGTGGATGACATGTTTTCTTGTCGGCATGCAACTATATGTGAAGCCCCCCCTGCCTTCTCCAATCTAACCCATCTCAACATCCGTCAACATCCATCTTCCCGCCTCCGCAAGCACCCACATGGAACAGGGCCTGCTGGATCCTTGCTTAGGGAGGTGGTGCTCCATTGTGTGACCTGTGGTTGGGGGATTTTAGTATCTGTGAACGATCACCCACACCCCACCCTCGCGAGACTGCCAGCCACTCCCGCCCCGGTTGATGCCGATGTACTCAGAGCCAGACAGCACGTCCGAGTCTCTATCTGCTGAAGAGATTGCCTCCCCTTCAGGAGCGCCAGACCGTGGAGCAGAGGACCCACGAGCGGTTCACCGGCGACCCCACGGCCGGCTATGACGTCTCCATTCTGCGGCTGGACAAGCCCGTGAAGGGCCGCCGCCCCGTCAGGGGTTTCAGGAGCCTCAGGGACGTCGGCAAGGAGGACGAGGCAATCATGCTGGGATGGTTCAAGGCCAGCTCCATCGGCCCCCCGGCGCTGAGCCTGCAAATGATCACCAACATCGCCCTTGTGGACGATGACACATGCAGGACAGTGTTCGACAAACTGCCCAGGGGGACCATCTGTGCGATGCCGGAGCTGCGGGCACACTGCGAATGTGGGTTGTTGCATTGTGGCAGATTGAATGGAGTGGGAATGCTGGAAAATGTTCTGTATCTGCATTGGGTGTCAATGGACCTCCTGGATGTCCACTGTCAGCTGGAAGATTGTTCTCCAAAGGGGCTGGTATTGTCCGTTTGAACCATACATACACAATGATAGGGAAGTAGTTGGCCCTGCTGTCATGCAGGTAGGCTTGCACTGAGATTGCAAGGATGTGTGTGGCAGCAGGATGCCATTCATAGCAAAGTAACGATCCTTATGTAGCCCACAGTACCAACAAACGGTACACTGTTAAAACAACACCTGTGACCAGACACTCTCAAGCAGAAGCCCTGGCTAGCAAATAGTGTTTCAGCACTAAATGTATTGTGCTTCCATTTTTGCTTTATCTCGGTGGATGTCTACAGTCTTGATTCAAGTGCCTGGTTGGATGAGGTACATGTCTTGCAGTGCTGTCTTTGGCCATTGATTACAAAAGTGTTGATCGTGTCGTTCATCGCAAACCGTGGAGGCATTTCAAACTTGCTGTGTGGTACAATTACCTCAGCTGAATTAAAGAAGGAGCCCCAGAACAGCACCAGGTGGACATCCCTGTGCAATTAATGTGTGTTGAGGTTGTTTGTCAATAGAAAGAATATGACTCATTAGAGAGGTGCCCATACAGTTCTGCTGGGCGCTTAAAGAACAAGCAGATCTCTGAACACATTCACAACTACAACCCATTCCTGAAAGGAATTCCAAATGTTTTCACCAGATCATATTTAAGTTACCAGGTGCCAACCTGATTGTGATGGAATTGTGATGATCATGATACATGAAACATGCAGTGTAGACCTGCAGGTCTTATGGGACAATCCTAATGTAACTACTTCTCCTAATGTAACTAGAAGTATGTATTATTATTGAAGCAGGTTCTGCACGATTGTATTTGTTGCCATGAGGCCAGCTCACTGGCAATGCAGTAGCTCATAGGGCCAACACAGCACAATAAGCAGCTTCATCATGTCAGAAAGCTCCAGCAATTGCCAAATTGCTTGAAATCCAAGGATTACAGTTTTGGGCTACAGTGGGCAATACAGTGCCGCTGCCTGTTGTAGCTCATGTCCATTTCAGTTGTCTGTTGCCCATCGCTCACAGTGCTACATCTCCCTTGTTTCCATTGATAGAAAAGAAGGAAAGGAGAAGTCAAGGAGGGAAGAAGAACGGCAAAAGTTTCCATGTCAATGGCAGGAGATTCGGAATGAGCGCCCATTAATGAAATGAATGCCATAGCCAATTGCATAAAGCACCGCTGTGTGCAGGGGTTACTGGCAGGAAAAGTTATGATTGATGCTCTGGGCTCTGGCAGCTCTCTCACCAATGGAAAAATCATTCGTATGCCCTGTTGTGATTGCGATGGCAGCAGGATCTGTGTTTCGATTGCAAAATTGACAGAAACCAGAGAAGCTACTTCACAGTTCTCGAAAACATTGATGCCAAGGTACACAGTTACTAGGAAAGCCCGATTGGTTGCTGCTGGCCAAAGCTTGATGGTTTGCGGCCAGCTCGGAACCAGCAACAGCCAGTGTAGCATCGTGCATATGCCACTGCCTATCTTCTACTCAGCAAGCTTTCCTTCTAACGCAGGACATTTCTCTTCACATTTGCTTCATATTTCTCCATTTTAACTTGGAAATCATTACTTTCCCACCACTTTTGCTCATTTACATCGCTTTCACTTGCGCTCTACTCTTCCCAACCATGGGAGTGAATTGCATGGGGATGCTGAACTGAAAATCGCAATACACTACCCGGTAGTATTCTGCCTAAGCTCCAGTTGGCTGTGCTGACATGTTCTGCGTCTTGGGCGTGCCAGGGGATCTGGGGGCTCCATTGCTCCTGTGCGACAAGAAGACCAACACCACCACGTTGGCGGGCTTCGCCTCCTTCGCCAGCCCAACCTGCGGGCAAAAGAACATGCCGTATGTGTATGTCGACCTCGGGGGCGAGCTGCTGTCGTGGGTAGAGCAGAAGGGCTTGAAAAACTCCAAGGTTGAACCAGAGACGCCACAGGAGCACACTGAGCTGTGAAGGCACAGGGAGCAGTGCTGCTTTGCGGCACGCGCACATGGGGTGTGACGTAGACCCCATTTTCGATTTTCCAGATCTGCCAGCCGTTCAGGAGGGACCCGGCGCTTCTGCCAGACGAAGCATCCGGGCACATCGTGCTGCAGGACGTTGTGCAATGCGCCCGATGCATCGATGGAACCAGCAGTGAACAACCGTTGCCCAACGGAGGCAACAAAGGAAACGATTTGGGATGAACCTCAACTGCGGAATGCCAGGGAGCATGTCCCCAACAGTAGACTGGCTGTGCCAGGGCTGCGCTCATGTGCCTGGGTGAACTGCTGAATATGTGAGCAGCATTGGGGTTCCAGTCTTGCGAGCTTTTGAGGTTTGTAGATCAGCGGGTCTTATTCACAGCGCCACTGGGGTGGGAATGCAATGGAGAATGGAGGCGCACGCTGCATCGAAGGCAGTGGCGCCCAGTTTTTGGGGCGTTCTTTTCTCCTAGTCAGCGGCGTCCAGGGACCTTCGGTTAGTTTTCAGTTCATTGTTTGCTTGCCTTACACCTGTCTTTTCATTTCGCTCACCGAGGGACGGGCAGTCGCCGATGTCAACTGCCGCTGGCCGAATAGGGTCATGTGTTAACGCACTACGGTGCGAATTCATTGTTGCGTTGCACGGCACTGCGTGAAGTCTGCATGAAGCGTTTTACATTCTCGTCCTCATGTTTCTGTCCACAGAGGCATGAGGACACGGAGGTGGAGAACAGTAAAGCCACAGCTCTGGCAGCCGCGACCTCCCAGGTCCTTGTTTGTATCACTACACGCTATGCTTTCGCCATTCTGTCCCTCATCCGTCCTCGAAGGACCCTGCAGTGATTTCCATTCCGTCAGGTTTTGCTGCACACGCCACGCAGTGCACCAGCCAAGTGCTGCCAGCGCGATCCCTCGTAGCTCCCTATGGTTTGCAGCTTTACTTGCGTGTCCACGGCTGCCCCTCAGAAGGAGAGCAATCATTGCGCACTGTGGTAATTTATCACGGTATGATACTGTGGGGCTCCGTCCGTGGCCGCTGGCACAAAGCCTGTCAGCCAGACTCTTCCGTGCTGTGGTGACCACAGTGCCGAATCTGGCGGGCAGGACCTCCTCGGTCCAGGTCGCGGATGGGCTAGGAGGATCATTCATCAATCATGACAGCCAATCTGAGAGCGCTGCACTCGCAGTGCACGTGCCACAGACAAAGGCTAAAGAGTAAAGCTAGGCAAACTAACTGCAGCGTGAGATGAAGACTCAAAAGTCACTAGGCAGAGGTCTTGTGGTGACCGCGTGGTCCAGATGAGTTTCAATGCCAGTCCCGTTTATGCCTTGCGTGCGCGTCTGGGACAAAGTTGTCATGGTGACCTCCAGACTGGACGGCTGGGTTCGTCAACGGCACAACTCGCAAAGCGGTCAGAGATAGACTTGCCGTGGCACTAAGCACTTTTCATGGGAAGCTGAAGAAGAAAAAGTGTTTTCGTGACAGGGAAAGTAAGAGCGCCCCTTGCGCAACGACTGCACAGACTCGAATAGTGCACAGGCCGTGGGAAAGAATGCAGCTCCTTCACGCCAATAACATCCTTCCACACGGGTAGAATTCCTTTCATATGCTTTTAATCGTTACAAGTAAGGGGAATTGTTGGAATCAGGGGGCCCCTCTGGCTCGCTATCAAGATTATAATATTCAATACAGTAACCTATGCCTAAATATCATCCTGCTCTCTAAATACGATGTTGTTATATAACAACATGAAGATTGATTGCTAATGGACTCGCATCTCCTGCTGCTGTTTGCGGAAGAAGGAGGCGAAGACGCGCATATATTGCAGCTACCGCGTGGCCATGTGGCTTTCACCATTCATGATAGAAATTTGTCATTGACGCGGTGCCGCGATGGCGCATGCAATCCTAGCCTGTTCGTTGCTGTCGGCGCCAGACGCGCGCTTGACCCAAGTCCCCCCTTTTCTCCCCATTCGAATGCGCCTTGGTCAAGGCCACTTGCAAGAGGCGATGCCCAGGCAATGACCCGAAGTCTGCTGCATGTTTCGGGCCCATTCAGTCGGCGTCAAATGTTCCGTTGAGTTTGACCGTGCGTGGCTCCATCCACATGTCATGCAGATCCGGAAATCGCCGCTTTCGTGGCCGAGGCCGCGCGCCCGCATCAACCGGCTCATCTGATTCAAGCAGGTCTTCCCTACGCGGAGCAACACAGGGCATCACGCATGCGTGCATATTGTGAGTGCATAATGGAAATTCCATTAATCAAGTATTTTACTGGTTTCTGGGGCATTCTGAGTCCTGCTCCAAACAGGAAATGCAGCAAGAGTAAGGCTCAACGAGTAGCACAGCGAGTAGTAGTGGATCCAGTAGTAGTTCACGACGAATAGAGCAGCCGTACTAACTAATAGTAGGTTAGGGCTACTGCGCTACTCCCTTTTGAACATGGGCATTTGACAACGATTCCGGTCACATTGGCGCTGTGATTGCCGATTTCTCCGACCCATCCCAGCTTACACAGTTACGGCTCTCCGTACGTCGCCATCCACCCGCCAGAGAGCATACTCGATCCACCTCGCTCGACCGCCGCGGCGCCAGACATGGCGGCATCCGGCGACCGCGCCTGTCCCTCCGTCCAGGCCCTCCTGTTTCTGTGCGCCTTGCCCGAGCTGCAGGTATGCCCGCGGCGGTTGCGCGGCGCCCCCGCTGTCGGCATTGGGGCAACAAGCGTGGTCGACTTGCTGCCTCCGCGCGGTGCCGCCCGAGCATCGGCTCTCGCAAAAAATGCAGCTATGCCGACTACAAGCACCATTTGCCAAGAGAAGCTCCACCGCGCGACTCCGCGCAGGAAGTGCATTTCCTGTGCTTCGAGAGCTCGCACACAGTGGGGTTGATCAACACCCATGAATCAGCGCCAATTGTAGTGGCTGCGCCGTGGACAGATCTCCTGTGGTGCCCCAAAAAAGGCGAGAGTACACGTTCCTCGCAACCTCTATCGGCACACCGGCGCTCTGCCTAAGTGCATCCTGCCTCAGGGAGCCATTTGCGGCGCCAAGCTAATGCCCCTTGTCAAAAACTTTCAGCTCGTCTCTATTCGCCAACGCCTGATGTCTGGCATCGACGCAACATGCACAGTTCATGGGTAGTCTTCGTGGACATTCTGCCAATCGAGTACAGGAGGGCATGCTGAATGTGTGGCACGCGTTCGCGAGATTGACCAACACGCACCTGCGCCCCGTTTTGGTGTGGAAAGCCTTACGCGGAGGCGCTTTCCGTGGTTTGGTTGAATGAAAGGATGCATTGGTAACCTGGGACATATGTTGCGCTCTCGTTGAGCAGGTAATTGAATTGCTTTGTCAGTCAAACCAGGCAGTTGATGAGTACCCTTTCTCTCCGATATAAAAATTGTTCGGTTGAATTAAGTCATGGATGTGCCCACAGCAGCGGCGTGCGCGCTGCTGCCATATGGCTCATCAGCTGCCTACATGTGTCGCTTACCGCGTGAGAAACGAAACGTTGAACTTGCAACGTTCCCTTTAGAGTTCCGATAATCAGATAGCTGTTGGTTGTTCTACGTCCTACGAAGGCGCAATGATGACTGGCAACCATTTTTCTGCTTCAGCTGTAATGCTCGACTCTGGCTTTCTTGCTCAAGCGGGCAGCTGATGCGGTCTTCGAGAGACAAAAAGAGCTGGCGGCCAACCTCCCGCCCTGGCATGCACTACTAGTGGATTAGTTGATCCACAAGTATTGCTATATTCCCGCTGCATTATTTCATTGCTGCGTTACCGCGTTATATTACTGCATTGCTGCAGTACTGAAGTACCGAAGCACCGAAGTACCGAAGTAATTTTACTTGAAACGCGGCCATGCTGACTGGCAGGTGCCCCGGCGAGTGAAGTACAGAAGCCTGTTCGTGTTGGCCGACATGCTCCTTCCGCGCTGCGGAGGCTTTTGGAGCCGCGAGGCCTCGCACCCTGCGTCGCCGGGGGTGGGGGGGACGGCGCCAAGGACGTCTGCGGCCCTGGTGGCGGCGGGAGCGGTGGCCGCGGCGTGGCAGCGTGATGCGGGAGGGACTGAGGCGGCAGAAGAGGCCATTCAAAAGGTGGGGGTGACAGTCACACCATGAAAATTGAAAGAAGATAATGTGCACACAATGCATATATATGCACATATATATGCATATATTTGCACATATATGTGCATGCACGAGCAAGCGTTCTATGCATATGTTATTTGGTATGTGTGTGGGCGTTGTGCGCATCGCCTTTGGGGGGAAGCCCGATAGTGCAATGCGAACCTTCATCTAAAAAACCGGTGTCACTATATTGTGGCTGCATTGCCATTGATGCAATGCCAAGCAACGCTTCAGCAGAAGCTCATGTGTCAATGTTGGTGAGCGCTGTTGTGACCAGGAACACTGTGTCAGTGCTGATACACTGGCCTTAAAGCAATCCTGCAGCACCATTCGGCGTTGCACCGACGATGATCCACACAAAATATTGCATCAACCTCTATGTATCTTTGTCGGCTCTTCGCCAAGGAACCTCCACGTGGGTGCTGGAGCGTCTTGCGCTCTCAATTCTTGTCGCAGGTACACCGTTCCCTCAACAAGCATTGTGAGCCCGCTGGCGCGCAACAGCTGAGGGACGCAGTGTGCTCCATTGAAAACGAAGTCAGCAGCCTGCGCTGGAGGCAGCCTCTGACGAGCGACCACGCGGGGGATTTCTTGGCCAAACTGTCCGAGGTCCATGGGCACGGGCTTGGGGCATGCGTTGAGGAGGACGTCTGCTTTGACATCCTGGATTGCCTCCATGCAGATGCCACGTTTCAGGTGGGTGAGCGCCGCGTGTATTGGACCTTGGGACTGTTCGCGTGACTTTAACTGGCTTCCGTTCTGTGGTACACACCAACTTTGTGCTGCTGCAACATACAAGTAAATAACGCCGTATCGCTTCGAGGGCTGTTGCTCGCTGCACTGCACCTGGCGACCCAATACAGTGCTTAGCTTCCGTTTACGTTGTGCTCGGGTCGAAACTGTCCCTTGATTCGGGACATTTAGCGTAAACGTCAGATTTTGGAAATCGGGAAATGCCGGGGATGCTCTTCCTACGTTTGCGTTCCAGAACCAAAAGACTTGTCATAAATTCGTGTTCGAAACTTCTCCGTCGTTGCTCCTGCTGGTAGGGACTCAACGAGCGATGTGAGCTCTTTGAACCAGCAGAAAAAGGACCAAATGGAACTTTTTGCGAAGGCATATGTATGCACTTCATCAGTGTTCTGCATGCCGAAAAAACCGAAATAACACAAACACGTAATATTTGTACACGTTTGAGCATGTGTTATTTGGCCCCTTTTTTTTCCTAATGTTGCGAGGTTGCGATCTGCCCTTTGCAGCCGTGTTTATATATGCCAACAGTGCATACCTTGGTGTAATATTATTCCTGTATTGCCACATATGAAATTCCCGCAGCAAATGCCCATACTTCAAAGCTGACAAGTGTTGATACGTGCCATCTTCACGCAATGCCGACAGGCGGATTTTTCTGCACCATTATTGCGCGAGCATCAATGGAAATGTACATGCGGTTGCATCACTGATGAGCAATGCACGCACGCCATGCATCAATTTGTACCAGAGTTGCAAACGCAAGATGTCTACCGCCCATGGCTTTGTACAACTCCTTCAACAGATCCAAAAATATGTCTATAGATACTTTGGGGGAACGAGCTTCAAAAAGTTGCTGCGTTTCTGTAAAAGAACTGATTTTTTTTTGTCAAGAATCCAATGAATTGTTGCCTGCGATAGACAAGTTGTTCTCTAAAGACGTCTACAGATGTATTTCGAGACAGCGACAAGGACGCCAGGCGCCTTTGCATTGCTGCCTCATTCAGGGAGCCCTGGGCAACGGAGGAAAACTTCTGGCCAGCGGCGTGGTCGCGGCGGCCTACGCGATATCCGTCCCATCCTCGCGCGTCGCCCTCCTCTCCATCCTGCCCTCGCTGTCCGACCTGGCGTCCCACCCGGGTGACGTCATCCGGGCTCAGGCGGAGGCCGTGGTGAAGTCAGTGCTCCGCCTGTCCAACCAGAATTAAATCCAGTTGCATTTGTATGCACATTTGAATTGATTCTAGTCAATTAATATCAACGAGAAAGCTTCAAAAACAGCCCGATCGAAATGTGCCAAATGTGGCAAAAATTACGGGTGTGAGTTTTTGCGGTGCGCGCGCCTCATGCAGCGCCATGCACGCCCGGGCCACAATTGCAATGAAGCCGGAGCTGCGCTGCGTTGGCGGCGTTGAGTCAGCCGTTGCGAAAGCGAAGGTAATGAGAGGGCCTGGAGGGACAATCGGGAATGGGACGATTACCCGGCTGCGGGAGCCACAGACGGGATTGGTACCGTGGGGAGCCTTGCGCACTGCGTCGCATATCGTTAGGTATATAACATTAATGAGAATTAACTAATGAGAATATTCTCGCGCATGTGCGAGGCATAGAGCATTGTCACACATGTGTCCACGCGAACATTCTTGTCAGCTTAGGTCTAGAGACGAGGGTTATGGGAGGAAACGCGCCTGTCACTTGACAAGTGGTAGCTGTCAAATTAGCGTCTGGTGGTAATTCGATCTTCGCAGTCGGGGCGTCGTCAAGTGCAATCTTGGGGTTTGCCAAAAGCTTTCCATGGTGGATTTGTCATGATATGTGCCCTCATCGTCGTGAGATTTCCAATTCGGCAAAAGATCGCTTTCAGTGCTTATGGCTGCTTTGTCCCGTCGCCATGGATATGGACAAGCGCGAGCTTACAGGAACGGCCCGTCTACGCCAGGAAACAGGACTAGTGGTAATCTTCAAACATATTGCGACGCCGTTAACTCCAACATACAAATTGAATTCACTACTGGCAGGCCTGTGTGCCAGATATCCTTGCGTCGAAACTGAGCCATGACAATACTCGGTTATCTACTAGATCTCCCCGATATTGGCCAATATCAGCAGATGCCGAAAGTGGATCAACAGTTGCACGTTTCCCAAGCAATAGTCGTCGAGTTGTTTGGCTTACTGCCACCTTATGTAGAATGCTAATGTAGAATTGTATGTGGGTCCTCCGAAAAAGCGTCGGATCAACTGCCAAAGCACCACTTGAATTGAAACTAAGTGGAACCGGACAAGGCAGTCATCAAAACGTAGCTGCCATGAACCCGAAGCGCCTGCTTTGCGAGCACTTGTTGGGATTGAACCCTGCCTCTGCCAATGTGTCCATCCAGAAATACGAGCAAGTATGTGTTGTTGTCGAAATTCCTTGGCCATCCCCGTTCGAGATCCCGCTCGTGACAATCGCCCTAATCGAACGTGTGCAGCGACGTGCCACAAAGCAGAACAAGTCAAACCTCTTTGGTTTGACCTCCGTGGCAAGCTTTGCGCCCGCGGTGCTCAAGCGCACTCCCCGTACTTGGTCCGACAAGCAGCCAAGGCTCCACTTGCCCTGCAACCAACCAAGAGAGGCCACGAACAAATCTCGGTCTCTCTTTAAATACCAGATTATGCCTCGTTTTTTCGCCCACCAGAACTCACACTCAGAACGGCGGACTAAACTCACACTTCACATGAGCACAACGCGCTACACAAGAGCACGGACCCACAACTCCAACTTATAGCACCGATTCATAGCAACCAATCATTAGTAAACTTGAAGTTGATTGCTGGGCAGCCATCCTACCGCCATCTCAATCAGGTCAATGTGTGCACCAGTCGGCCAGCACATGACCAGCTGCTTGCACAACATGGCAGCTGCGGCTGTCTTGGTGGGTCAGACTTTCCGGTCTGTAGCCTGGCTCCCATTCTCGTATTCAATTTCTCCTTGAATTTCCTGCACATCGTTGTTCAGCCACCGGCCTCCAGTCATGTGAACTGGAAAGCTGCAAGTAAAACATCAAGAAACAGTGACAGACATCCAATTGTCATGTTGATGGAATTCCTAAAATGAAATTCTCAGATAATATCATTTAATTTCAATCATCTTTTTGCGAATCAGTAATTGACAGAGCCAGCTTAGTTGCCAATTACCAGTAATTCGAACGTTTTTCCAGAACGCCAATTTGCAGTGCGATTTGACTCACACATCAATTGAGCCAGAAAGTCAAAGTCAGCGTCAGAACGACACGTCCACCTGCTATTGCTCAATAAGAGTCTGCCAAATTAGAACCTCCAATTCCACCCCGGAGCATCATGCATGCTTAATACAAATTACGTTTTTTTTTATAATGCATTGACACGTTTTCAATACATCACGAGCCCTTTTTGGCGTGGTGAATGCTAACAACGAGTGCAGGTTGCGCATGACGCTAGACAGGGTTTTAGAAATCGCACCAAACCCATTGCTGATTGTGCCGCGGATTCGTTATTTTCACAATGCGGACTCTGGGAAATCTGGGAGATGGTCTTGCGTTCTGGCCTTGGGAAGGCGTGCTTCGAGATTGCAGGTGGCCACAGGGGATCTCGCCGGAAAGCGTTGGTTGTTCGTGAATGCGCAGGTTTGTGTTCCTGCGCCCCAAAGCCGCATCTTTGAGGCCCAATATGCGCGGGGATCCAGCAAGTGAGCGCAAACAACAGAGGTGTGGCATACCGAAGCGTGGCATTGGGCGTTGGCGGGATGAACTCCGATGCTCCAACTCACGGGGACGTCGCTGCGCCCTTGTCCGCCTGCTCAAGCGGCCCCGCACCGCGCCCCACAACACTCTTTCAGCAACACTGGTACCGGGAAGTACTGCAAAGTACTTGAGCCTAAATTTCCCCAGAAAAGGGTTCCACAACTGGCCAAATGACCAAATGAACGAATTCGCCAAATAGACCAACTGGACCAAATTTGACAGTTGCTTTCTGCGCCCGCCACCAAGCGCAAGGCGCAAGGCTCCCGCTGGTCGCCCGCTACATCACCACCGTCATTCATTACAACCACTGCACTACAATCATTGCAATCATTCACACAGCGTCCGCTAAATGTGGCCTGCGCAGCCTGGTTATGTTCCTGCATCGGCTTCTGCTGGAAAAGGATCTTTGTATACTTTACGCTTTGTGGGGGAGATCCTTTGTTTATCTTTTGATGTAATACATTGGAATTAAAAAAAAAAAAAACCTGCGTATCTCCACATCAAGCGATACGGTCTTGCCGTGGCTTGTGGCCTGTGCTCGGGTTGCAGGCAACTGAGACGAGTCGTTGTGGCTCAACCGCGCTGCCCAAGGCGGTGCACCATCCTAACCCACTCGGTGGTAGCGCACTCACAGCCATGCACTCCGCCGGCCACTTTGAGGATTGGCCACTGATGGGATCGACGCTCCTCGATAAGGAGATGGCGTCGCGGACACACATGAAACACTCAACGATGGGCACCGATCGTGGCCCAAATCAACCCTCCATGAGCAAAGCGTGGAGCCCCAGCGCGGCTGACCTCCAGCGCCGTAAAAAGGCTCGCCGTTGAAGGTGCACGAGAGTTCGGCAGGTAAGACTTTGGGACAAACGCCAGCTTCAAACAGCCAGAAACACGAAACATGAAGGCTGCAAGGCCCCGCGCGGGAAGATCCGCACGCGAGCTGCGCGGCTAGCTTACGGATGGTACAGATGGTGGTACATGCCCAACTGGATGCTTTTGCAAGCTGGGTGTCTTGGAGGTGATTGCTCAATCCATTGCCATAGCGGGGCGGCGGAACGCCGTTGTTGGCGCATGAAGGCGAGTGGTGGACAGGGAAACAGCCATGATTTCCGGAGAGCCTAGCTGTTTTCTTCTCCACCAATTCAGCTTGTGGCCTCCCATTTTGCACGCAAGATCAATCACTTTATAGAGACTGGGTTGCGCTGGGGTGATGGCTGCGCGCTTCTGTCTATCGGCAAGGTCTCTGTCCCAAGACCTTCCAAAGGAATTCCGGAAGGCTCGCTCACGTGGGCGCCTTGGCTGGCAAGGGTCGTTTGCTCGCCCTCCTCATGACGCCGGGTCCCCTGTTGTGGCCGTGGACGCCGCGCCCTCGTTCTTAGAGGCTACTGCTGGCCGCCATAGCCGCCCAGTGCTGCATCGCGCTAGTACGTCCAGGACACGATCTTGCTTGGGACGGGTCGGGCGAAGTCCGATAGTCAAGACGCCTGGTTTTGCGCGTTCCTATGAAGGCGACTGCGCTGTGCGGGGCGGGTTGGCGGAGCGCGTGGGCCCACCGACATTGGCGCGTGGACCGAGGCGCCAGCGCGGGCAGGCCATATTTAACGGGACGCGTTCACGCACTGCAAACAGAACCCCGTGCAGGCCGCCTACGACGGCGGCAGTCCGTAGTGCATGGCACCCACGGCATGACGATCAACGTTTCACCGGCCGCAAGCAAGCAAGGGCAAACACCGGGTGGTACAGGCGAGACAAACACATTGGGTATCCCAAACGCGTAAGCTCCACATCAGATCGCCGTGATGACGATGACAGGGAGGACTGGCGGCTGGGGCGGCCCTCGGAGTACATCGTCATGGCCCCGTCGTGCAAGGGCGGTCGGGCTTGTGAGGGGGGGTGTCCAGGTCGCAGCGCACGGCCCGGACCACACCCCAGACCGACAAAGGGCAGCCCGGCCGAGGGCCGAGGGGCCTCATATACAGGGAAAGGGAAGGAGGGGATCCGGGTGCAGGCGGAGAGGCTGCCGAAGCGGGATGGAAGAGGTCTCGATGTCACGAGGGGAGCAGTTCCGCCTGCGGCGGGTGCTCAGCTCCAGGCTTTTTCGGCGGGGCGGCAAGACGTGGAACACGCTGGTGGGCGGATGGGTGGGGAGGTTGGGGGTGGTCGGGGGGTGGGGAGGGGGAGTGCTGGCGCGGTGTTTTGTGGGTGGCTCTGGGCTCGCCTCGAATGTTTGGCGTACGACGTTGGCGCATCGTCGGGAGGGGGCGGGGGGGAGGGGGGGGCGTGGGCTTGAGCGCCGGATGTACGGTTTCGGCACCCGTTTCCTCAGACCTTGGCTTTCTGTCTTCCTGCTTGATTGCGGGGGGGATCGGCAACCCGGTGGGGAGGCCCCGCGCCCCGCTCGCCGCGATCCCGCCCCGGCGCTCACTCCGCGGGTCTGCGTGCCTTCCTTGGCGCAGGGCGGGTTCGACATCTTCGACGCCAAGGCGCCCAGCAGGGTCATAGACCCCCTGAGCCTGTCGTACCGCATGTGGTGGTACCTCACCACCGCGTGCGCGGTCGTCACGGCGCTCTTCACGCCATGGGAGGTGGCCTTCGACGAGTACCCGGGACTGAGGTGAAGATCGGCGGGGCTCATGGGGGATGGGGATGCAGGCGCGCCGTGATGGGCCCCAGCCTGTGCGGCCGCGGCGGGCCAGCTGGCTCCTCCGAAACTGCGCGGGGGGACGAAAACTTACTCATGTGCTGGCATGCGTGCGCCCCACGCCTCCCACCACGGGGTCCGTAGAGAAACCCTACCGGCCCAAGGGGTCGGCAGCCCGGCATTGGTTGTAGCGCCTTGCGCTCGAAACATCGGCACGTACGGCTTGCACGTGTTGGCGGCCAGATGCCGCTGCTCTCGGAAATCAGGGCCATCCTCCGCAGTGCGGAACGCGCCTGGCACAGAATCGTTGCTCGGGAAAGGGGGGCATTTGTGCGCGACGGGCCTTTTTTCTGATGAATAGACAATCGGCGCATCAGGCCGGGAAAGGGGCGCTGACCGTGGCGTGGTTCCTGTGCTGGCTGCGGCCGTGGATTAGTTGGCCGCGCTTTTCCGTCTTGCGCTCGCGGCCATCGGCGAGCGCGAGGAGGTGTGCGGTGGCGGTGGGCAGTGAACTCCTGCCCCAAAGCTGCCCTGGGCAGCGAAGACTTCATTCATTCGCCTCAGTATTGCGCGATTCTCACCACGCCATCCGACAAACGATTGGACAAAAGATCCGACAGAATTTGGACAAGAAGGTCGACAGAAGCTCGACAAAAGTTTCCAACCAAAGATGAGGGTCCCACAGGGTGCAACAATTGATGCAGTCGACCTGTGTGGCCAGGGCCCTGTCGCGCGACACTCATTCAATCCTTGTGATGAGAATGCTGTGATAAAACTTATCTTCCCTGGGCAAACCTATGTGTTTTGAGCTTGGCAGGTGATGAGAGGCAGTTGGGCCTCCAGCTGTGTTGTCTCTTCCCCATCCGTTCCTAAATCTGCACCCACACGTTGGAATTAAGAGCATTGGCCACACGTTGCAAGTTTCAGAATCCATTGCCGGTTTGGCCCTATGGAGTAGAATGCAGAGTCAGTGAGTGCAGACTTGACGGTCAAGTGAAGCTGCAAAGGGTTGTGTCCCACATCAAAGTGTGTCCACAGATGATTCCAACAAAAGGCGAATGTGCAGTGATTGTGCACTTGTGATGATTGAACCCTGTAACACCAAACAACTGGTGAAGAGTCAACGTATTCAATGAATAGTTCCTTGAGTTCTATTTTTCCCCCCAGGCCCTACGATGATGTGGAAGCGGTTGTGGAGTTCGCACTGACGGCAGTGTTCGTCGTTGACATCCTTGTTCAGTTCAACCTGGCCTTTGCTAGAAAGAATGGAACAATCGAGTACTCCAGAAGGGAAATTGCATGGCAGTATCTGAGGTGCGTTGACGTCGGTGGTTTACAATCACGGGGCCAACACAGGCAGGCAACGTGCAGCGCTGTGTCCTGCAGTAGCTTTGGAGGATTCAGTGCTGACAACTGGACTCTCATTACAATCCTGGACTATTTTTGCACAAGGCACATGAGTGTACTGGCACTTTGGAGGAGGTGCCTGGCGGTTGTACATTCCAAACATTTGTTTCCTTCCAAATGTTGCATTAGCCGCACACCCTGCTGTTTTGTGAAGCGCAAGTGGTGCATGTGCGGGTTGCACACGAGTCGCATTTGGTCCATCAGTGCGTAACACCCTCGGCTGCAGGTCCTTTTGTGGCGCTGTATTGGTGGCGATTTAGTTTCCTTTCAGATTGATAGTTGTTGCATCACACTACACTGCATGCTCATGGAAGTTTTGCCAGTCCACCAAACTGTGGGAGACACTGTAAAAGTGTTCAGTTTCTCCAGTTGTTGGAGCTGCTTGCATGTGTGCAACGATCATACATGCACTGTTGATTGGTGTTGGTGGACTGTAAAAGTGTTGACCCATCTTCCAACACGTGCAAGGGGGTGCTTTGTCACGTTGCAGCTATGCCGTTAAACTCAAGCCCCCACTGTCTGGAATCCCTTGCCGCTTTTAAAATATCTGGTGTGCCAATGGATCAACAAGTGATGGATTCTGGGTGAAATGTGCATAATGGTGGCCAACCATTTGCTGTGATGTACTTTACCAGCCATAAAAATCATCAAAGATAACATCAGTTCATGGCGGTAGACTGCACTACCGAGTTGTGTGAGTTGTTGTGCAAGTCCTTGGCAACATTTGTTGAAGGTGACACAGTTGATCTGCCATCGTCTTTCCAGGTGCATGGGATTTTTGGTGCCTGAGTTTTGACAAAAATAACACACAAAAGTCACGCACGTGCAGGGCAATGTTTGGCATGTTCTACGAGCACCTTGTCCAAAGTACGATCGCCAGGAAAGCCAAAGTCCAAATCCAGGGACTTGGTCGAAAATGATGAACGTCACACTTTAGCTTGAATGACTGGTGTTTACTGCTTTACATGTTGCAGGTCCAAGTTTTGGATCGATGTTATCGGAGTCTTCCCCTTTGGAGCAATTGCAGAGGTGCTTTACAGTGGATTCGGGGAGACAACACTGCGATACTTGGCCTTGTCCAGGCTTTTGAGGCTGGTGAGTGGCTGCCTGCATGGAAGTGACACAGTCCATTCAGCACAGTGGACATTTTAAAGCTAAATGCTGTCCTTCAAGCTGTCTTGGATAGGTGACAGTCGATCTGCTGAAAGATTACGAAGCAGCACACTCGAATCTGCAAGTACATGACCAGAATGACTGCAGCAGTGAGTCAAAGTTTTGCCTGCAGACGTCTTGCAGCCAGCATGCCCAATTCCTGTCTCCTTGTGTTTTGTGTTTGCTCGCTTGCTCTGTTGAGTTGTGCTTCTGTATGGCTATGTTCAGGTCCGACTCCATCGCGTTTTCCGCTTCTTCCGCCTGCTTGAAATAAACCTGACGCTCAGCAGACTGGCCATGACGCTGATGAGGAACTTGACTATAGTTGTGCTGTCGACACACATCGCTGGATGCTTGTTTTATTTCATTTCTCGGCAGGTGAGAATGAGCTGTGATATTTTCTGTAGGATCCTTTTGCACATATTCTTTCTGGGCAGGGGCTTCATCGTTTGGGGATGTGTGGATGTGCTGATAGCGCGATGCCGACTTGAAGCAAGCAACACCAGCTCAGTCAGTGGCAGCTCAGTCAGTGGCAGCTCAGTTCAGTGGTATGTTTCTCCTCTGGGATGACGAAGTGGTTGTCACCAAGCCTGGCAGCATGCCTGGCAGCAAGATGGGCTGTGTTGGTATTGCCAGTGGCCCCTCTTATTTGCTGGATACATTGCTGGGCAATGTTGCCATTGCCTCCTTGATAGCCTACTCCACCTGAACTCCACAAGACCCGAGGCTTTAGTGTTCGAGCTGTTGTCCCCTTGTGCTCCACAGATTGTCAATCCATGGTTCTGTTCAGTCACACTCCGTGGGCCCTGGCATGCTCAAGTGCACCACGCCAGTTATCCCCCAATATATGATTTAGATCTTTTGCTGCCTCATTGTGATGAGTCAGTGTTCGTTGAACCTGACAGGCCACGGGTAGTAACTGGCAGGGCGATACTGCACCAGATTCCCACAGCAATGTTTGCTATGAAGCGTTCAATTTTTTCTCTGCAGCTGCCACTTGTCGCACAGACCTTGTGTAAGTGACCGTAGTGTTATTTGAAGTGCATCAATATGCTGATGCATTGGCATATCGCCAGTGTACCGATGTACTGCTGCTTTGTGTTCCCACGGCTCATCTGTCTCCAATGTTGCTGTATTGATTTGTGCTATGTCCTCCTGCCGCCAGCATGGCCTGTTCGATCTCTGCGACTTGGATGATGGCGGCACCACATCCTGCTCAGCTGAGGACACCTGGATCGGCTCCACGGTGGACCTTTTGGACCTGTCCCGCACAGAGAAGTACATATATTCCCTCTACTGGTCTATCACAACGATGACTACTGTGGGCTATGGAGACCTGTCGCCAAAGAACACCGCCGAGGTTGTATTCGCAATGGTGTACATGTTGTACAACATGGCCCTCGTTGCGTACATTTTGGGTACCATTACCCTGCTGGTGGTGAGGGCGGATGAGTCCACAGGGGAGCTGCGGGAGTGCTACAGGAACGTCACATCCTTTGCTAGGCTCAACAACTTGCCTGGAGACCTGCAGAAGTCACTGAAGGTGGGTGCTGAGTGTGGCTGGGACGCCACTCTGAGCGTTGTGTGGGGTACAGTTGGCCTTGATGCAGCTGTGAGTATTGCAGCAAACGGCAGCAATTTGCTTTGGTTTTTATCCTGTAGTCGATGTGCTTGTTCTCGTAGACAGGGAGCGGGCTGCCCCTTTCAGCGCTGGGTCAAGTTCTCGTTTATTTACTTGTGTTGCTGTAGTTTCATGATCTCGATCTGGAATGGGTGGTGTGCAAGCTGCTGCAGGGAGGGTGGTCGTTAGTATGTTTGCAGCCTGTATGTGGGATATGCTGTTATGATATTGGACTAAATATCTTGTGAATTACACGTGTGGTGGGAGGAGAGAGTGGTAGGTTACATATCTTGTGCCAAAACTAGAAGCTCAGCTGTGCTCAGTTGACCTGGTTGTTTGTCTGCTTGTGTCCACAGGACCAGATGCAATTCAATTTGGCCCATCCAGAAGTTGAGGACGACTTTGTGCTGAAAGGATTGCCTGCTGGCCTCAGGAGGCGTGTGCTAAAAGAGCTGTATGTGGACAAACTCAAGGCAACACCAACTTTCCGGGTATGCATGGATCTTCTCATTGCTGCATGCTGTGCAGTGTCCTGAAGAATCTGCTCATCAGAATGCAATTTCAACAGATGCTAAATTGTTTGTCCAAAGCTAGACAGAAGCGCCATCCTTGAACCCACAGGGCTATCGCCACAACTTTCACCTCTCAGTGTTTTGTTGTCTGTGAATGTGGGTGACCAGATGGGCAGTTTGCTGTGGTACAATAACTGACCCTTGTGAGGAACACCTCTGTCCAGGTATGGCTGGCCTCGAGGGGACGATCATAATCTCGTCACATCGGCACCCAGAAGAGTTCAGAAATGAAATAGAAACATTCCACAGTGTTGTGAAATGGTCTCTGGGCAGCAGTTCAGATGGACGCACAGCACTGTGACTGTGACTGTGTGTAGCAGGCGTGGAGGCCTGTCTTGCTTGTACTGCCTTAATCTGCTTTATGTGCATGGCTTTTACCTTTGAATGCCTTCCAGAGTATATCATATGATGTGTGTGAGATCGATTGAACATTGCCACAGTTGTTTGGTTTTGCACATTGTGCATCTTTCTTTTGGCAGTCAGGGTAGGGTAGAAACATACTTGACGCCCATGGCATGGATATGGATGTGTCCATCGCTGCTGCTGCTGCTTGTGGCCCAGATTGACGTACGGGGAATCCAACAATAATGTAATCTGTTTGCATGAGTTGTTCATAGCTTCACCTCCAATGTGCAGGAGTGCTCCGAGAAGTTCCTGACAGCGTTGACTGCGAACGTGCGTGTGGATACCTACCTGCCGTACCAGCTGATCTTCGATGAGGGTGACCTGGTCCAAGAACTGCACCTGATGGTCGATGGTGAGGCGGTAAAGAAGCAGGCTGCACCTCCGTGCAGTGGATGGGCTGGACCTGCCAAGGAGATGGGCGGGCTTGGGAGGGGAGACCTGTTCTGTCCAGAGGCCTTCTACAGGGGCACACCAGCACCATGGGCTGCGCACACAAGGAGCATATGTAGGGTGCTGGTGATCCCCAAGGACGCATTTGACACTGTGTGTGAGCAGTTCCCTGAAGATTCGCGCATTGTGAACAGTAACATCACGAAGCACTGCAAGGTGGGTGGGCACAGCAGGGGCGTTGCTGTTTGTAACAATCAGCTTGCAGTGTCTGTCAGTGCATCTGCATCGCATCAACATCCCCCTTCATAGCATCCAAAGTTATTTGTGACTCCATGCCAGAGAGACTGTTGGGGTGTGTGGTGTCACCTGGGGCATTGTTCAGCATCTGTCCACATGTGTCAGGTATGTTGCCCTTCAATGTATTGTTAAGCGGGTAACATTCTTTGTTGTTCCCATCTGCTGCATGAACAACACCCTGGATTGCATATTCCTGGGTGGGATGAGCACCTTCTGCAGAGGTGTGGGTAGCAATTGATTGAGGAGATGCACGATCAGACGATAATGCTTTGCATTCAGCCACCCTCGTCATTGGGTACGCTGTACATTTTGTGGGTGCAGCATCACAGGGAGATATGTTGTCACCTGCAAGGTGCAGAAGCTTGTTTTGTGGCTGTTCTGAGAGCTGCTATTCAGGGTATTTGACCATGAGCAGCAGGCTCCCATCAGCGCACCTTCAGAGCTTGTTCTTCACTGTCGATGGCAGCCAGACACCTGTCCCCTGGGCATGAGGTGCCCATCCTGAGTGTGACTGTTTTTTCTTCCAGTACCTGCCAAGCTCGCCAAGCACCCGTGGCCTCCTCAAAAGAGACACACCGAATGGCACACGCTCCATCCAGGAGCCTCTGCTGAGCACAGGAACTTCTTCGGGAGACAGCCCTGTTGACCAATCAGAGAGCACCCGCAAGCTGCTCAAGGTAAACGAACCCTACTTGGGGTGCGAGTACAAGTAGGTGCATTGCTGTGTTCGACAGGACCAACAGTTTGTTCCACCAGTTTGCTACCAGTGGCAAGAGCAAAAAGTGCGTCATGATGGCAGTTTGGCGATCACAGAGGTTGAAACTGAGACCTGGTTCGCTTGGAAGGACAATGGCCTCCCGGTGCAAAGTGCTCCATCAGGGGGAGAGATGTGTGACAGTAACTGTGACGAGCCACATTAGCCATATGACGTTGCCCCCTGTGTGTCCATTCAGTGTGTGTGTGCAAATCGATTGGCTACATTGTCCATTGGTGAGCCCTGCTGTGAGTTGCAGCAGGTCGTCCCAGAAGGATGTGTGCACGTTTTGTAGATTGTTTGCACCACTATCAGATCTTGGAGCAGCGCCTGCGCATGCTGTGTAACTAGTGCGCAATGGAAAGTTTAGTTGTCCATTATTGGAATATTGTTGGAATTATATGTATACAGCATTACATTATTGGAACCATGTCATGTCAAGAATTCTCTCGTCCCCTTGGAAAGCACATTTGATAAATTGATAATATGTAAATATGTATTTTATCATTTTATCAATGGTTGACGTCATTGGGTTGACTGTGCATCTGCCTTGCTTGTCGACCTGCAAACTGCGGGTCACGAGTGACGATACAAATTGTTTTGAACTATTTTCAGCAATTGTTTTAACATCTTTTCAATTTTTAATTGTTGTGCTTTCTCAGCATTTAGCATGTTTTAGTGTTGTTTGTAATGCTGTGTGCAACATTGCTTTGCTGCTTCAGGGGCACCGCCGAGGACGGTCACTGGAGATGCTCGCAAATTCTCCTGCGGCAGCAGCTGGGGCCCAGAAGAATGACGATGACATGACGTAAGACCATGTGTGCTTGAGGGCATGAAGATCTTGCATGATTGTGCCTGGACCACAGTTGTCAGACATGGTCAGCAAGGGCTTGCCCAAATGCCCGCACGAGTTTGAAGAGCAGTACTGTAAAATATTCAACCCTTCCGCATCAGAAAATTTCACCGTTACGCTTTTTGCTCCGCATTTTGCTTTTCAGAGCGTTACTTTATTTTTTTTACATTGCCCCGCACAGGAAGGCCAAGATTTGCGTCACTATTTATAATATTTTCTCCCCAAAAAAAGACCGAGCGTTACGTTGCTATGCGGAAGGGTTTAATATTGTACAGTATCACCCGCTTCGTTTCCTCAAAGTGTTCCATCACAAATCATATTTGATATCAAAAAGAAAAGAAAATCAACCACTCAGTGCATTTGTTCTTCAAGTGCTTTCAAGTGTGCTTCTTGCATTGGGGCAGCGCAGTGCACCGCACAGAGAACTAGGTGGCATTGCCGGCCGGTTCTTGGGCTGCTTGCGCACAGCCAGTCTGGTGCATTGCCGTATGGGTGGTCATAACTTATTGTGTTGATGAGAATTTATTTTGTTCGTAAATTCTCATGATCTTCTGTGTCATCGTTTGTTCATCTTAAATTGGTTTGATACTGTCAGCTGAAAGTGTGCACCACACCTGCAAGTGTTTCCTTACTCTTTCTGCCCTCGCTTTCCTTTCTGACAGGCCCTTTTCAAACCATCAGTAGGATGAAGCAAATTGTCTGGAAAGTGGAAACCACTTGACGATGCCCTCCATTGCAGTCTGCATGGTGTCCATCTTCTGAGCCAGATTCCTGGAATGTAAGACAATGCAACAGGGACATAATGCAGGAAATCGATGTTTTTCGGCCAGGTTGGCTTGCACCGAAATTGGGTACGTGCAATGGACAAGTTATCAACTTCCTGCAGCGATAGTCCCTCCCCCCCCTCCAATTCTGCAACGCTGTCTCCAGCGAACTGACAGTTGTTTGGTTGTTGCAGCGTCCCGCGCAGCCCTCTGTCGTACCAGCCGCTGAAGGACGGCCTCAATGTCGGCAGGTAACGCTTCCTTCAGCTCTCTTTTCTGGCCGGGTAGCACCCACCGTGAGAGGCGTGACGCGCAGCTAAATCCAATCATCAGCGACTGATGGTGCCTGTGCTGCTCTGTTCTGTGGCTGCAGATTGCAGAGCAGCCCGACTCAATAAGGAGCGACACGCAGGGTATCCAGTCCCATGCTTCCGCTCTTGGTGCGGTGCCTTGCCAATCATTGTTTTGCCAGAGCGAGCCATTCGGCGGCGGCGTGGTCCGCTGTCAGATCAACGTCGCGCTGTTGGCTCGCGTGCACGCGCCCACAATAATTTCTTTTGCCCAGTTCCCGAACCTGATGACAACGTTGGGACCCAATTTGTGGGTATTCTTTTATTGCTGGGATTTGAGACTTATTTCATGGCGGGAGGAGAGTGCGGTGATTTGGGGCGTGGTGCGCTGGTGGTGGGACAGGGGGTCGTGTGGCAGGTTGTTGCGGTGTGCAGAGAGGCTGCTTTGGATGGGGAGGGTTGTTGAAAGGGAGGAGGGGATGCTTTGTCGCTATTGTGGCACCAAGGGAGCTGGAGGGTTCACGTCCGATGGAACGAACCCTGACGAGTGTGGAAACGGAGAGCATAGTCGACAGAAACTGGGAATTGGCTGTGGTTGAAACGAGCTTTCTGCAAGCTGGAGAACGGGAGTAAAGTACTGGGCGCCCGTCCGCGGCGTTGTGTAGGCTTGCGCGCTGGGGTTTCGTAGCTGCTGGAGGGTGGGACGTGCAAATAATTGTTCTGGGTCCGATATCGCATCGCCCCCTTCTGTCGGCCCCTTCGAAAGATTGAGATGTGGAGCTTGGAGCGTGATGGATGGGACTCAGACGCCAGGCCGTGATTGCTGCCACGCCGAGAGCCCGGCCGTTGTTGGCGTCCAAGTTGGATTCTGAGCGGGCCCTTCGTGATTGGGCTCAGCTCTCCGCACATGCCGAGGCACTGACAATCTCGGTCGCCGTCTGGGCTTGTGTGGCATAAGGTGTGCATCCGTGGATCTGGCGCCTCAGCCTGGAGGCCGGTCCTCTGGAGTGTTGGGACGTCGATGGGCGGTGAATTTGTGTGTGTGCGTGTGTGTGTGTGTGTCTTGTGCGATTGTGACGATGTGGTGTAATTAGAGTCTCCGGCTTCCTGCACCTGGCTCAGCCAGGAGGGCAGCTGCCCTCTCTTCATCAGTTGCACGCCTTCCGTGGGAACCTCTGTTGGGCCTTGAACGCCTTGCTCCTTCTCTGAGGTGCCGCCCTGTGGACTGGAGCCCAGTGTTGCTAGCGACAGTCCGGGCACATGGGATGGGTGTGGCGGATGTAGTGGATGAGCCAAGCACTGCACCAGAATGGGACATCGAGAAACCGCCAGCTATCTGTACCTTCCAGACACGCATCCAATGAAAAGGCATCGTCCCTCAAGAAGGCAGAAAACCATATGGAAATAAGAAATTAGGAAAATCAAGCACTGTCAGTGAAAAGCACTGGAGAAACGTCCATTTCTTCGACACATGGGGCTCTTGGAAGCGCTGCGATTAAGTTTTTGTTATTAAATTAGGTTATTTGGTAAAATATTTATTTTAACAAAAACATTAAATTAAACACCAATAGTTGTGGTGCGGCTGCCTGGCGGTGCCTGGTTGGGTCAGCAACCAGCCATCATTTCTCATATTCTCTAGATTTCCCGAGAGCGCAACGTTCGAAACGCTGTGGGCTCCGTTTCTGCCATGCCGGTCTCCTACGCCCACCCAGGCATGTACTCCCATGACAATACTTACAAACGTAAAGTCAATGTCACATACCCAAGGTTGCCATCCTTAAGCATTGCCCTTTTCGCCCCGCTAGTACTTAACGCCACTCAGTGAGTGGCTTTCCCCGTGAGTCAGCTCCCTTTCCTGTACTTCACTCCCTCAACTGCCTCTCCATCTCACAACTAGCACGAACTCCACTCTCCAGGTCGGGAGGGCTGGGTGCGAAACAAGATAAGGAGGCGGACCGAGGGGATAGCCTAAATAGCCGCCCATCGCCGCCCCGCCAATGCCCGCCAAACTCGAGGGCGCCAACGCCGGCAGCACCTCGTATTTTCGTACTTTGACTGACCCACGGTACTAGGGTGGCAAGAAATCCCAAGGGGCGGGGGTTGAGTAAATGGGATTAACTATCTTGTTGAGGGGTTTCCGCCTAGGGCGACGAGGGGCGGGCGCGCTGGCTCCAATGGGACCAGCGCTGCTTAAGTACGGTTGTTTTGGCGGCCCCTTGGGGTTTCTGTCCCCTTGTACCTTGGGTCAGTGGCCAGTTTGTCGCGTTCAAGGAGGGCCAATGATTCTTGGCGCCCTTGGGAGTGATGGGCTTTGGCGAGCGCGAGCGGGGGAGTCTATTTAGGCTCTCCCCTCGGTCCCCACTCCATCTTGTTTTGCTTTGCGCCAAACCTTTGGCACAACCCGGACCCACAGAGTGGGTCGCGACCTCCGGCCTTTGCCGAGTTCTTGCCTATGAACCCGTCCCCTGCGGAGCAGTGGTGCCGGGAACAAGCTCGCCGGTTCAACAACCGTATTCCGAGCTCCGCTATCGAAGCCTGCTGGTTGCCCGACCCAGCGCTCCTCCCTCAGTCAGTCAACAACCCGGTCGCCCGACCGGTGGGTGCCCGCTCCCCATACTGGTTTGACGTCCGCGAAACCGCCGAAGGGAGCGCGGTTGCCAACGCCTTGGGCGCGAACTCCGGGTACTTCCAGGAGTACGCGGGCTGGGCGCCTCCGGTGTCCTAGCTATTTGACACGACTGCGGCCTTCGTGGAGGTGGCCGCCCATCCAGATCTACCGGCATCTGTACGGGACTTCCTCCTCCCCTACCTTTACTCGTACGTGGAGGTCACCGAGGCCCTCCACGACCAGCTTTCCTTGCAGCGCATCCACGCCAAGCACAAGGGCTCGGGCCTGGAGGGATTGTGGCGAGCCATTCAGGCGGAGATCCGTCTCGCCGACTGCGGCCTGCGCTTCAGCACCGCTCGCATCGACGGCACAATCGAGCGCATGTGCAAGGAGCTCCTGACTCAAGAATTGAAGCACGCCACCAAGACAGCGGCCACCAAGACAGCGGCCGCCAAGAAGTCTACCTCCCCCCCGTCGTCCTCGGCCCCCTCGACCGGCCACAAGTCTCACAAGGGAGCCCGCGCCCCGGCTCCATCCCCCAAGCCGGCTCCGTAAAGGACTTCCCGTACAACTGGGTTCAGGGTCGCCTTGCCGCTTGGCGCCGGATTGGCGCTCCCTCAAGAGTCCTTCAATAGATCCATTCCGGGACCCCGCTTCTCTGGGGCCCGCGTGGACCCCCGGCCCCCTTCGACGAGGGCTCCTATCTGCTCCGCTCTCCGGAGGAACGGGCGGCCTGGACTTCACTTCGCGCGGAGTACCTTGCTTCGGGCGCGATTGTCAAGGTGACGCCGGGTCCGACGTCGCGCATCTCCCATGCCTTCCTGGTGGAGAAGGGTCGGGAGGACGGGGTCATGAAGTACCGACTCTGCATCGATTTGAGATGGGTCAACCGTCACCTGCGCAAGGTGGGCCTTCGCTATGAGAAATTGCATGATTTTGGTCACCTTCTCAAACGAAATGACTCATTGGTGGGTTTCGACATTAAAGATGCTTATCATCACCTAAGGGTGTGTGGATCAGAGGAATGTTTCCTTCAATTTCGAATGGGGGACGAAGTTTTCGCGTGTAGGGCACTTCCGTTTGGCCTCTCTTTAGCTCCATTCTTTTTTACGCAGTTCATGCTTGTAGTGGGCCGTTTCTTGAGGTCCCCAAGCAGCTGCCCCAAAGCAGCACGCCAATTTCGTTTTGGGCGCTTAGCAGGCGATGACGCCATTGCTAATTACTTTCAGGTGTACACTAAGGAATCTCCCGCCATTCTCTTGGCATATTTGGATGATTTTTTGGCGGCAATGCATGACGCCGCTCGTTTGACTCGATGGTCCTGGTTTGTGAGGGCCGTTTTTGCCTCGCTGGATATACAATTCAAAGACCGCAAATGTCAATGAACCCCTGTTCGGCGCAAGAAGCATTTGGGTGTGATTATTGACACGGCCCATTGCCGGTTTGAGGTTCCGCCGGAGAAGGCTACCTTGGTGGCCTCTAAGGCCTCGCTTTTGCGCTCATATCGCTGGGTTGTGGCCAGGGATTTGGCCCGTTTCTGTGGATTGGCCATCTCCTTACATTTGGCCTTCCCATTGGCGTGCTTCTTCTTACAAAGTCTCTACTCAGTCCTTCGGTCCAAACGCAGTTGGCGGGATCGCTTGATCCTCACCCCCCCGGCCCGGCTGGACTTGGAGGCATGGGTCCACATTTCGCGCTGTGCGGGTTGCCTTCTCAACCTGGATACGGTCCCCTTCGCCGGCACCCTGGCCACGGATGCCAGTCTGACCAGATGGGAAGCCACCTTTTCTCCTTCCGGGGCGTCCCGGCCCCTCCTTGCCAGGGGGTTCTGGGACCGTTCCTTGAAGCACATCAATGTGCGTGAGATGCAGGTGGTGGAGCGGGCCATCCGCAGCTTTTTTCCGGCTGCTTCCCATGGCCTTCCTTCTCGGCTCCGCCTCCTGGTGGACAACTAGGTAGTCATGTACTGCCTCCGCAGCATGACTACACATTCCAAGGAGCTCCTCCGCCCCCTCCGCCAGCTGCACCATTTCCGCCGGGCCGGGCTCCTTGTCCCGCCCAGGTCCACACACATACTGGACCAATACATTACAACGACATTGTTTGTCCCAAAACAACCCGAGGTACCCACAACTTGTGTGCCCAATCGCTTCGCTAGTAGTTAAGCTAGTCCCATACTAGAGGTGGCCGCTCAAGGGTGCCATCCGGTCCGTTAAATCCGGTTCGTTAATTTTTATCAGCTGTCCGTTAAATTTCGTTAAAGAAAAAGGGAGAAAAATTCAGAAAAAACGAAAAAAAATCTAAAAAAATCGAAAAAAAACCCAAAAAATCACAACAACTGCGGCTAGTTGAAAATCTAGTATGCATAGATTGAAACAAAATACAAACATACTCTCTAATAGCGAATTCCATAAACTATAAGTATGAAAAAACCCCAAAAATCTAAAAATCCACTAATTTTTGGTTAATTTTTGTCCTTTTTCGTTATTTTTCGTTAATTAACGGAAAATTAACGGAAATTAACCTCTGTCCGCTATTAACGGATCCGGGTGGCCACCTCTATCCCATACTAGACTCAACCCTTGAGTCAGACCCACCACACCCCATTCCATCGTGCTTAACCCCACACTTGCCTCAAATCAACCGAACATCACCCTAATAGGGGGGGCCGGGCGGGAAGCGAAACAAGATAAGGTGGAGACCGAGGGTTGAGCCTAAGTAGCCTCCCCGCTCGCGCCCGCCAAAGCCCGCCGCTCCCAAGGGCGCCAAAAACCATTGGCTCTCTTTGAACGCGCCGAACTGGCCACTGACCCAAGGTACAGGGGGACAGAAACCCCAAGGGGCCGTCAAAACTGGTGTACTTGAGCAGCGCTGGTCCGACTGGGCCAGCGCGCCCGCCCCTCGTCGCCCTGGGCGGAAACCCCTTAACAAGATAGTTAATCTCATTTCCGCCGGGCCGGGCTCCTTGTCCCGCCCAGGTCCACACACACA